ACACCAGGTTTGTCAACACATGGCCCTTGCAAAACAAAGCCTTTTTTGCTTCCTAGCAGAAAAAAAGGAATAAATCTTTGGGTGAACTCTGCCTTTTCGGAACATTCCTAAGACTCTATTTTGATTTCTTTTGGAACAGTCTCCCAATCTTCTTTACTTAATGAGCTAATAAAACATTTTGCAATGTAGCTTGACATTATTTATATTTTGAACTTTGTTCCTCTTTAAGGCATGGAAGAAATTAGACTGGAATTCTGGTTTTCCTTCCCCCTGCGGAACTTTCTGCATTGTAAACACACTGCGGAAAATCTTTCTAATTATAATCTGGAAAGTTTGTGATTGAAAAGATTTCCCTAAAACGTTTCATTGTTAGTCCTGACTCTCTCAAAAGATCCCGTAAATTCTTCCAATCAAACATAACGATGCCAGTGGTTCATCAGACGTCTTCGAATCCCCTTTATAGCTCATCTCAAAAGTTCAGATCAATTAGCGGAAATTCGCAAGACTACCTTTGCCAAGATCATCTGCTCCAACAGCCAATATGCCAGAAAAATACAGCCAAACGTCTTTGTCATGGCTGACGAGTTAACGTGAGTGTATCTTTTGCAAGTTTTTTCACCCCAACCGCATTCATCAAACATAAGATCATCTTGCTAGAAATGCACCTGCGTCTTGCTCAGAGCTTCCGGATACGGACTATTTTGAATGGCTTGATAGAGGTTCGATTTGATGTTTGAATTTTAGTCGTTCACAAGAAAAACATCTTTGTTTAGATTACTGTCTCATAGATCATCGCGTGATTAATCTTGGTAAAACGAAGAGAATAACTCCATGTGTGACATGTACATGCACAAAAGAAGGCGTGAGTTGATTTCACTAGCCTTTCAGCAGAGATGTAAAACATTGTCCTCCTTAGAAATCTTAGACTCTTCAAGTGGGTAATGAAATAGTTCTTAATGAATTATGAAGGTGTACTCTTTTCTTCTCTTCCGATAATCATTCGCAGTTTCATAAAATAGTAGTATTCGTTTGACTTCTGTCCAAAACATCTTGAATTTGTCACCTTTTCAAGTCGCTGTCCAATTAGCAATTCTTTTGCTTTCTCTTGATTTAAGCATGAAAATCCCGAAACCAAATGTAGCAGCTCTCATAAATTTAAAAAGCAGTGTTAAAAACAAATGTTGGCTGTGCGCTTGGCAACTTTTTTAAAATGATTTTGGAAAACTACCTAGCACTGGAAAAGGCGAATTTGATGTCACAAAGATGAGACCAATCCACAGAATAGTTATCTTTTTGCTTCTCGTGTACAGAATTCATTCATATAGGTAGACAGTATTCAGTGCTGACGGATT